AGCGTATACGCAATGAAATGGATAAGACTCACCGGCCCCCGAGTAAATGCAGCCGCTGTCACCAGCAAGGTCACAACCGAACAACGTGTCAATCTACACCGACCAAGACCTAAGTTTGTATCTGTAATTTGATGTAGTAGAATAGTAGATTTATTTTGTATCTGATTTTGTAACGTTTGTAACATTTGTAACATTTGGATCATTTCTATTTTGAATGTTGTCATTTGAAATTTTTCGTCGATGCCTTTAACTCGTCCAGCTCATGTTTAATTGATGATCTAGTAATTGTGTTGATAATTGGTGTATAACGTTGTTAATGAACATATTTCATGGACAAACAAGATAGGACACCCGGACCTGTTGACCCTTCTGTCCTGACACGACAGGACAAACATCGGAGCGTTGAGATATGGGACCAGTCGGTAATATTTCATCCGTTAGTTCATGTACTTATGTATGTTAAAATGATATACTATTAGATATTAATTACGTTCGTACGATTTTTTATAAGGTTGATCCAGCGAGGCTGCTGGTTTGCAGGCACTACACTACCAGGGTTATGGCGGACTGGGTTATCGATCAACGCGTTATTGCGTACGTCGAGTTGGCTGGCTTGGGTGGTAATCATTAGATGGCGTTCAGGGAGATCGATCGAGCGCTTGTCACTGCGCTCGCGGAGAGGTGGAGACAGGAGACGCAGTTCTTCCACCTACCTGTTGGGGAGGCGACCGTTATGTTGCGGGACGTCGCGATACTCACGCGCCTTCCTATACATGGGACTGCGGTGACAGGACATGTGTTAGTCGATCCCGTTGGTTTGGTAGCTCGGGTTCTCGGGGTCCAGCCAGGTCCCGAACGAGATCAAGGAGTCCAGGTTGAGGACCAGCTGGATACGTGTGACTTTCTGTGTGCTGCCTGCGGACGCTGCTGACGCCACGGTTCAGAGACATGCTCGGGCATACTTGTTCCTGCTTTTCTCGGGCGTGTTGTTCGGCAACAAGAGCAGGAGCCATCTGCAGCTTATTAACCTACAACTGCTAGACCACGACTGGGATCATATCCGTGGCTACAGCTGGGGTAGTGTTAGGTTTTCAGCAATTCTACACAACAAGAATTACTTAAAGATGGTGGAACAAAACCTAAGCATTGTATAAATAATGTTTAATTATACAACAATCAATACTAATCAAAGTATTGCAAACCAAACACCAATGTCAAAGTAATTCAGAAATTACAAAGAAAACACTAATATGAAAGATATTAAAAACTTGCCTCTACTCCAAGCCTATGAAACCACCAAGAACATGAGAATACCAAGGACCACGTGAGTTCAATACCGGATACTTTCCTAAGGCGTGTAAACACTTTCCTAAAGTGATTATTTCCCCCACCACGGTGCTTGGGTTGAAACTGGAAATTCACTTTGAGATACAATAGACAACACTACAATCTTTGCACTAAGATTTGTAGCAAGATGATCAAATTCTCAAAGATTTAACTTAATTGATAGAGTTTTCTATAAGAGATTGCAAGTTTCTTAGAGAAAAGTGTGAAGAAGAAGAATTCTTGGAGAGGAAAAAAAACAGAGAAAGCAAAAACCAGAGTCTATTCTTTTAATTTCGCAATTAAAAGAACAAACGAAACAACAACTGCTAGGCCCGCGGGCGCGGCATACAGGGTCGCCGACGCGGCATCCAGTAAGAGCGGGCGCTCCTCTTTTAGGAGCGGGAACTCCTCATGGCTTGCGGGCGCGGACAGGGAAATCACAAATTTCACCCAACTTTCTGGAGATGCCTGGCCGCACCCATGCCGCGGGCGCGGCCACCATGCCGCTGGCGCGGCTTTCCGTGGCTTTCAAGCCGCGGCCTCTCCTTCAAAGGAGAGGGTTCTCTTCTACCACACTTTAAATTCCTGACAGGTAGTGCCTGTTTGGCGACGTTGTATCGCCACCTGTGTAGAGCATCCCTCTGTGGTTCTGGCGAGATCGGAGGTCCCTTGATTGTGCTTCAAGTAACTCACGTAATTATCAACAATCTATTTTGTCTATTACTTACCTAGTTTATACTTAACCTAATTTTGTATTTTTGTGTTACAGTTATGGGCTTGGGAGCATATCCATGTAGGCAGACTAGGTAGGCCTGTTGTACATCGTCAGGGGCAGCAGGACTGGGACAAGCAGTACCAGGCGTACGATGCTCCACCGCTCCCTACACCTGGCGAGACGTACGGTTGCTGGTTTATTTCAGTTGTTATTACTTTAGACTTTAGAAGGTTTTATTATGCTAGTTGACGAACTAAAACATTTTTTGGTATTAGGTGGGTGGTCCCCAGATTGACACATGCGCATGCGGCGAGGGGTCTTCCGTACTACCGAGACGCCCTTGACTGACTCACCGAGGATCAGGTGGTAACTTAAAAGGAATTTGTAAACATTTATTTAATATGATTCTTGTCAGTGCACTAACCTATTTATGGTATTACTTTTGATGTGTTGTTGCAGGTGACATGGGATCCGTATGTAGCTGACTTGGTTGATTCCATGCTTGCTCATCTGTTTGATCATCAGGCAGAGTGGCGTGCCAAGACCCCCATGATATGTTTCGAAGTTGTGGAGAGTCACCTACCCGACCGAGTCATGCGACAGTTTGGACTACGCCAGCCTGTCCCCAGCAGTGTGACACTAGTATCCGCCTGCATGTCGTTGACCGTCGGGGAAAGGGGGAGACAAACTGGTCAGTGGAGCATAGACTTTACATTGACCTATGGCAGCGACGGTTGGAGTTCGTAATTGGAGGTGATCTGATGCAGGGCATTATGGATCCTCACGATTCGTACATGGTTTGGTACAGGCGTATTACACGGCGTTTCATCAACCCCAGCTACACACCACCATCCACACATTACCATCCAGCATATGACATCATTAGTGGATATGTGAGTTTCTTTTATTCTATTTATTTTCATCAATTTGTAAATTTCTATATCATACAACTGACTGATCGATGATTACTGCAGGCAGCGGATATGGTGGCGATGGTTGATACACTATCAGTCGCCCTTGCAGACAGACCCACCAGAGCCTAGGTCGAGCGGGTGCGAGATAGGGCGTGGCTAACTTACAGAGAAATGGTCACGGCTATCTCGTTCACCAGCGGGACGGTCATGATGGCCACTCCGTACATTCACAGTTTGAGCTCGGCTAGAGTAGCGTTTGAGGTGATCCTACATCACCCAGAGGCGCAGAGGATAACATCATCCACAGTTCTGCCTACCCAGGACGACCCTTCGTCCAGCCAGCAGACTCCCCCACCACCCTGACACCCATTCACCACCATTACTCATTACAGGCGGCGTCATGTCAGACGGAGGGCCGACAGACAGAATAGAGAACCATTACCTCGATTAAATGTGTCGGGATAGTATTATCTGATTTATTTGCTGTAGCCGGATTTGCTAGAATGATGTATATAACACTTACATTATTAATATAATAAATGTTTTTTGAATGAATCTGTGTGTGGTTTGAAGTTTGATTTCCTTATTTGTCCAAATCGGACTTATGTTAGTCAAAATAGATCGTTCTAGGCCGATATATATCAAGTACAAGACATTTGGGCTCCATAATGAGAAACGGGGTAGAAGCGATGGCCCGTGGTGGTTAATGTGGTGGCTCATGGTGGTTGCAGTGCTACTTTGCAAAATATTTTGTTAAGAAAGATTAGTTTGGAAAAAAATCCCTTTGAATCTGGTCTCCCGCAGTTGACTGTATTGTTAGACACATTGTACATGTAGAGCTGTACATCCGAACCGTTAAACCCTATTATTTCGAATCGATCCGAGAAGGAATTGAACCGTAAAAACTCGTTTTTTGAAAACCGACCCGACCCAATTTTTTTCTAACCCGAAACTGAACTGAACCGAATTTGTGTGAACCGTTACTAACCCGACCCGTTATCAAGCCAAATCGTTACAACTCGAAACTGAAAACAACCCGAACCTATTACGTCTAAACCCGATAGTAACCTGACACAATTTTAAACCCAAAACCGTTTAAACCAAACAAAAATCCGATAAACCTGAACTGGTCCAACCCGTAACCCGTTGTGACCGAACCATTTATAACTCGTAACCCGTTATGACCGAACGGTTTCAAACTGTAACCCGTTGAGACCAAACAGTTTACGACCCGTAACCCATTCAGACCGAACCATTTACGACCGGTAACCCGTTATGACTGAGTCGTTCATAAACCGTAACCCAATATATTTATGATCTGATCTGTTTCAACCCACTACTCGATAAACCCAACTTATTTATGACTTAACTTGATTAAAACATAACCCGTTCCTACCCATTATCCGACTAACTTGACTCGATAATGATCAGTTTCGATTTTAACCCAATAAGATTTGGACTGAAACCCGGTTCAAATTGAGTAAACCCGTTTTCAAACCTACCAAGTTCAATCCAAACTGATTATGACCTAAACCGATAATGACCAGACCCCCGATTTCACCAGATTTGTTTTGAACCGAGACCCATTTTCAAACTGACCCGATTTAACCCAAATTAATTATGATCTGAACCAATTACAACTCGACCCGATTAGAGCCCGAACTGTTTTGAACCGAAACCCACTTTAAACCGGCTAAACTCGTTTTCTAACTGACCCAGTTCAACCCAAACAAATTACGACCCAAACCAACTACAACCCGACACGAATAAAAAACCGAACTGACCCGATGATTTTCAAAACCGACTCAAACCGACCCGCTAATCATTTTAACCCGTTATAAACCGACCCGTAATAACCCAAAACTATTTAACCCAACCCAAACCCAAACTGTTTACCCGAATTGACACCCTAGTATATGTGATTATTATATGCATATTGATTCATTCTTAATTTCATACATATTCCATACCTTGTAAATTACTCCATCTCAATATAATTGTCACAATACTTCTCAGTATATAGAATGGATGGAATATATATTTACCTCGATGATTCCTTGGGCATTGTCAACAACTGCTCGAACTCTGCTTATCTCAAAGCTATATTGCGTAGTTATTGATATGATGTGCTTTTCTGTAAAGTTGGCCACTATTTTTGCATCAAATCCTGAAAACGCATCCCTGGAAAGTAAAGGTAATTGTTTTTTTTAAACAATCTAATTATATATAACTAATATATTAAGCTAAACATTTAGGCAGGCTATGAGATAGCTGACACTTGGTATTTTAACTTTTCATAGATCATTAAGTATAGCGCCACGTAGGCGAGATTTAATTATTAATATGACACATAGGATTTATTTGAATATATTTTTTTATGAGGATAAAAAATAGGATAGATTTTGTAGCATACAAAATTAGTAAAGAGTTTTATTTTCAATAAAATTTGGATACATTTTTAGAATAAAATATTTAGTTTAGGGTTTTATTTTCAATAATATTCCAATATTTATAGATTAAATTATAAATTTCAATAAATATCTTATAAATTCGTTAACTTTTCACCAAGTGTCACACACGACAAATAAGCATTAATATGAGACATTGACACGTATAATGCTAAATCAATGAAATTCAAATTGATAATAAATTATTTAAAATTTCATTTTCGATTAAGTTTCAATATATATTTAATATGTATAAAATTAATTATAACTTAATATCTTATAAATTTATTAGTTTTACTAAAGTATTTATAAAAAATACTTTCTTATTTTTTAAATTATTGCAATACTTTTCCCAAAAATCTCTCACAGTTTTAGCAAAAGTGTCGCATAATAAAATACACAACTATAGTTGTTATATTTTTATAAGTTTTTTTAATGACGTTGTAGATATTATTAAATTAAGTCAAGATCCGCCAAAGTTTGAAGATTTCGGGGCAAATTCGTAGTGGCACATAGGCAGCTGTATTACCTGTCTGTTAAACATGAGCACAATTAAAGGCATTAAAATTACAACTTATCCTACATATATCATCCAATAACATGAAAATAGGTTTAGCTCTAAATTGATTTCTTCCAAAAACTCTAACCATGCTACTTGAGTCACTTTCATTTATGGTGCATACATATATAGCGATTTGCTAGAATGAGAAATGAAAATATGAGAAAGCCAGTTAAAAACTACCACGTGTCCCATATAAATTACAAAGTGCATAAGAAAAGAATATTTGTTTTTAAAAAAAATTAGGAAGTGGGACATGTGTCAACTTTTAAGTGGTTTTCTCATTTTCTCATTCTCATTTTAGCAATTCTCTATATTTGTAAAATACATATTGCGCTCTTACAAAAATCAACAGTATCCTACGTTAATATATCTTAAATCAAAAGGATATGCACCTCTTACATAATATTGTTTGTATTAATGATATGTTTGAAGATTTGGCATATAGATAAGAAATTTTTCGCTAATAAATATCCTATAACTAAGTGGTATTATATCACTAATTAATAAAGCCGGTTTCGCAATCAGGACATGAGACAACGACACTTGACATTCCAATTTTTCGCTAAGTGTCGCGCCACGAAGGCGACAAACAGGTATTATTGCGACACATATGATGCTAAGTAAGCATTTTTTGGATAACTTTTCAAGATAAAATTAATCAGAACTTTTAATAAATATCCTATAACTCACTTATATTTCAATCTAAAATTCATTTAAAAATGTTCTGTAAAATAAGATTCCTTAATAATATAATTAATTTATTTAAAAATTTAATAGAGAATTAGTAAAAGTAAGTTTTAATCAATAAAAATAATTTTAGTTTGGTAAAAATACTTTCAGTTCAGTAATATAATTTAAGTTCAACAAAAATAATTTCAAGTCAATAGTAACATAATCTTATATATTTTATACTATTAGAATAATCCTTTTTGATAAATTTAATATATTTTTTTAAAAGTACACTATTATATATAAGTAAGCAATATGATATCGTATGTCTAAATATTTTGCATTGTAAAAAAGATCTATATGACCATATTTAACATTCAAGGCAAAAATTTTATACTAAAATTTAATCAATCATCTGGACATCGCCCGAGCATAAAACTAGTAGATACATAAAGGAGAGTTTTTTTTCCTAATATTTTAGAGCACTATGTAGGATTTTTATTTTTATATAAAAAAATAATTTAGAGCATGAATAAAAATAATCCTAAAAAAAAATCATATTTAAAAAACTAATCCTTATCCTTAATAATTGATATCATTATTATATTTTCTTAAACACTAAACACTATAAGCAAGGGCTTATTTTAAACAATTTAAAAAACATATTTGTATTTTATTTTAGAATAAAAAAATATAACCGCAACATAAGTAAAATTAACCAATGAGTATAGAAAATTTAATTTTAAATGTAAAAGACAATAAGTAGTGATTAAAGATTTAAATTATTTATAAACAAAAATATTATCTTTTTAAAAGATAATCCTGCAAATGACGTAACATATTAAAAAAATTTATTTTTAATAAAAAATAACACATAACTAACAATAAGGAATCATAAATTACATTAAAATAAACTTAAAACTTAGACATTTTGAATGCAATAGCAATTTAGTTTCTTTTATTTTTTTTTTGTCTGAAACTATTTAATAGTAAAATGAATCGTGATTTGGGTAAAAATACCCATGTCACATGGCCCAATCAGAATTGGACACGTGTCACCTCATGACAGGTCCAATAAGGGTCACTCACCAGTTGACACGTGGCACTAGAAGTCAGCAAGGGAAAGCAACGGCCTTTAAGGCCCATTTTCCGTGACAACCCATCATTCCTAGGTTTCCGTAACCTAAGATAGTGGCACGAATCCCAACACCCTATAAAAGGGAGATGCTCCCACCTAGGGAACACAGATTCATTGAACACGAAAAAACCAGAGTAGTCAGTAATTGCAGATAATTAATTCTCACTACAGAGAATATTCTCGATCTCGGAATCCGAGAAGATACTACTTTACTTTCCGCACTTTTTAAGTCTTTCGAACACGTTCTAACTTCATCGTCAGAGGCGGAACTCCACCCAACCGGAATATCCGTTGTTTTGCAGGTACAAGCGCCCAAAATCAAGTCTTGGTGTTGTAACTCTCCCGAGGAACACATAAAACCCGGAAACATTTGGCGCTGTCTGTTGGGAGAGTACCTCTAAGATGGCTTCACAAGTACTTGTACCGCCCCCTAATGAGAAACGGTCTACGGCCGAATTTGAGGTCTATTCGGACCATGACACTGATGACGACTTTGAAGTCAAAACGTATGTGGCTGCTGATAGGTCACTCAGAACCAGGCTTACCCATCCCAAGGAAAAAATGGAACGGGGCAATGATCAGGCTGGCCCTAGTAAGTCATCCGGACAGCCGTCTAGACAACCCAAGTCGGCAGAATACACAACCCCGGTTACATGGGACGAACTCATGAAATTCATGATAAGTTTCGAAGGGGAAATAAAGGACCTCATCAACAAAAGGAAGGATGGCTCCAACAAGGGTCAGTCGGCCAAGAAACCTTCTCCCTGTGAAAAGAGAAAGGCCATCCGGCATGCCTATCCGGATGGCTCAAAGAAGTCACACTCTTATGCTCGGTTCCTAATCGATCATTAGAGAAACCAACAACAGTCTGAGTCGGCTTCATCATCGACCTCCCTAGAAAGCTTCCAGAATACCTCAAAGAGAGATTTATTCAGGCGGCCTGTCCGTCCACATAGGCCCTCAAATGATCCATTCGGTCCCGTATGTGCCTCAGCAGCCATACATGCCGTATGAACAACCTTACATGCAACCGGCCCTCATTGGGGGTCAGGCGGCACAAAACGTCCAACCTTTGGACTAGCAGCTCCGTCTGCTAAAATTTAGGGAACAACCTTGTGCGTTCTCTAGGGAAATAACCGAGGCGGCATAGCCGGCCAAGGTTAACAATGTTATGGTGGGTACTTATGATGGTACCACCAACTCAGAAGATCACCTCATGGCCTACACCAACCTCATGTACGTACTTAATAGGGTTGGATGATGCCACATGGTGCCGATGCTTCCCGGCTAAATTGAAGGGCATCGCTCAACGATGGTTTGGCAACTTGCCGGCCGGATGCATCAATAGCTTCCAGACGCTTGCGTACTTGTTTTCTTCTAACTTCTCTATGAATATACCTTCTAAGAAAACAAGTTTTGACTTGGGTGTTGTACAACAGGGGGATAACGAAGGGCTAAGGTCATATGCCAGGTGGTTCAATCTGGTGAGAATCCAGATTCAAGGGCTTTTTGATGAAGTGGCCTATACAGACTTCTTCAAGGGTCTAAAAGACAGGTCGACCTTTAAGTTCGACCTCGTCAGAAAGAGGGTTGCTACCCTCCAAGAAGCTCTGATAGAGGCGGAAGCCTATATACAGGCGACCGAACTCTACTCCATCAACAAACAGTCGGACTTCAAAAAGTCTGACAAAAAAGAGATTCGGCAATCACAGCCGGCTAAAAAAGAAGAGAGTGAAAAGAGAATATGGGCGGCAGACGACTCTGAACAACCGTCCTAGAAAAAGAAAACAAAGTTTAAACCGTACGTCCCAAAGTACGAGTTTAACAAGGACTGTTACTCCATCTTCATGGAGATCAATGACCGGGTAACCATTGAGAAACCGGCTGCTATGAAAGGTTCCGTAAAAAATCGGAACAAAAACAAGTATTGCAATTTCCATGAGGATATTGGCCACGACACCGACGACTGCTATAGTCTCAAGCGGTAGTTAGACCGTCTGGCTGATAAAGGGGTGCTGAAATCCTACATTTGAAATTGAAGTCCAAGGTAACCCTAAGGAATAACCATAGGCATCCGTCCAAAAAGAATGCCCAACCTGCTAATAGTTCGGACACTGATGAAGAGCCAATCTATATAATAACAGGCGGCTTTGCAGGAGGGGGCTCAACCATCCGGGGCACTAAGGACCATGTCAAGCGGCTGGACGTCAGTTCAATGGATGAAGGCCAGGCGTCTATGGACACCTTCCTTAATGTTAGCATCACTGAAAAAGACAAGGGAAACGTCAGGAAACCACATGATGACCCCACTATCATTGAATGCAAGGTGGCCAACTAAAAGGTAGGCCGGATCCTCATTGACACC